TAGTAGTAGTAGTAGTAGAAGAGTCGTAGAGGTAATAGTAGCAGCAGCAGCAGCAGCAGCAGCAGCTGCGCTGGTGGTTAGCAGCAGTAGCAGTGTTGCAGTGGTCACCGTCGGTGTGGTCATTGCCGTCTTCGAAGCAGCAGTAGCGGCAACCGGTCGTCGCAACAAGAGTAGTCGTAGCAGGCTGTCGTCGCTGTCGTACAAGACGGCTTGGAGACGAATCGGGGCTGCAAAGCAGCAGCAACTGTTGTCAGTGCTGTCGCTTACACTGCTATACCGTCATGTGTCGATCAAAGCTTGCAGCTGAGGCTTTACCAAACCCTACTCGTCTGACAGCAGATCTTAAGTGAATACTGTTGGCACCTCCGGCTGTGCCGAGCAACCCGCTCAACATCAGCAGAGGCTGACAAAGCCTGGCTTATAGAGCTTGAAAGTCGGAGATCAAAGTTGATCGGACTTCAAGATTCAGAGGTCGCGGTGGCAGATATCCACTCAAAAAATTTAACACTGGCAAACCTGATGTGTCCTACAGCGCTTATCCGGCTTATGCTTGAGGAGACCACGAGGAATCATACTGTGCAACTACAGGAGCCAGTTTGCAAAGAGATCAGACTTGCCCATTCCAGGGCCTAAAATAAAAGCCTGCAATTCTGAAGCTCTCAACCCCGGAACTTCTGACATCCTTAAGCTGCACTTCAGGCTCCGGCTTGGATGCAGAGTGGACTAGAGGCTGAACAAGAGTACATGGCAGAAGCTCTTAAGCTAAAACACACACTTTCCTGCAACTGATACACCAGTGGTGGCTCTCGTGGCGTGAGGAAGCTAGAAACTCGGAAATGCATCTCGAACTCACAGCTTATCTTTCCAGGCGGGTTCAATGCCTGGAAAAGAAGATGCCATTCCCGGGAAGATAGATCAACCTGCAGCGCCGTCCGCTAGTTTTGTTGCATTCTGGCTGTCTGGCTGCTTGTGGAGTACTGAGGTCGCAAAGTTTGTCAGTGGCCTCGCACGGGTTGAGAGGGCACGGCGAGTGCGTTGAGTCATGCTTCCCGAGCAGACTTCTCGGCCGTCTCGTTCATGGTGTTTTCCATGACGCTGGATTTGGACATTTTAGACTTCGGGCGTGGCAGCATGCTTCCCTTGTGGCTAAACCCGCGGAGAAACGTTCTTCTCAAGGGTTCTAGAGAAATGCTCCAAGTAGTACTGGCGTTGGATGTCGAAGTACTCGGAAGTCTAAAGCTCGGGGTGCGGGAGAAGTGCTAAGGAAACCCAGCGACACTGCTTCTTTCTGTCTGAGTCCTCATGCTTCTGTGACCGATAACCCATTGCAGCCAGCTGGCCAGCTCAGCGTAATGATGACTTGCCCGTTGTCTAAGACACGAGGCTGCATTTGCGGCCTCGGATCCAACTTGAGCTGCTAGAACAATGCAACGACATCTGCCCCGCTTGGACTGCTACCAGTCGCCACTGCTGTCACACCTACCACGACTCGTTCTACTCCTGGTGCTGCTGCGGGGTCTTACTACGAGTACTGCGACGAAGCACCCAAAACAGCGATCGCCAAATAACAAAATTATATACCACGAAATAGTTAAATAGTCATCACCGTCATCATCGTCGTCATCATCATAATGATGATCATCATCTTTCTATCACCATGTGCTTGGCCATGCTCATGTTCGTGATAACAGCAATCATCGAAAACAAGGTGCCCTTGCATCTAGCCGATTCTGGCCTGCCGGTCATTAACACCCGCTAGCAGTCCAATGACTACTGATGGCTCGGGTTGGAGGTGCGGCTCAACTCTGTACTATGCTCCCGTCCTTGAGTCTGTTGACCTGTCACTACTTTGGTGATGATGACGTGATCGTACTGTCAGGACGATGAAGCGGATGGACTTCAGGAGGAGTCATTGTAACACGGATGCCTGGTCTGACCGACGTTCAGCTAGAGCTAGCACCCCGTCAACCGAACCCACATGTACACACAACCGGTACTGCATATCACACAAAGCTAGGGGAAGCCTATCTCACAGTAATCCAGTAGCGCATGTTTGGAGGCTGATGGGTGATGGTCTAAGCGGGATAAGTAATCATAACTATCCGACGGTCCCTCATCGTACTTGCAAACATCCCTCAACGACGACATACAACTAGAATAAGGTTTCGGGGTATACCACAATATACTCAGATCTAGGGACTAGAAATGGATATGATTAGCAATGCCACCTGAGTCTAATGCACATCCTCGCAAAGCTCCTTCTCAATGAGTCGAGTGAACTTGCCATCAGCCACGGACCTCACATCAAGATTCGGCTCGGGGGTGAGGGTTTCAGTTTGGGATTTGAACGGAGCATTTTAGCCAGGCATTACACGCGTCGGCATCCCTAAGGAGCCCTCCGTGCAACGAGCCCCAAACCTTGCTTCACGCCTGGTGTGCTAACTTTGACCGCTTAAGTTTAGATCGGCGAGAACGGTGTAGGAAACTGCAAGGGGTGGAAGCTTCGAGCCCCCGGAACGGCAGGGCATGATGAGCCAGGCTCGAAAAGTCTTAGTGCCGACTACCGCGGAAGGACTTGCCGTCTTAGTCTAGAGGAATTACATCCACTTTGCTAGAATGCCACTGTAGCACCCGGCGATCTGCTTTCCGACTTCGATCGATGCCGAAAGTACTGCGACAGCACACTCCCAAGCCATCTGCACCTCACCAAGAACCCCAGGCCCTAAGCCCTACACACAGTCGCGCTGCTCTTGCCACTAAAGCTCCGGGTTTCTTCATGACAAGCAGCAGCTCGTCCATGGCCGGATGTTTGTTGAAGTCTTGCCTCAGCTGACGTCACGTCATCGGGCCTAATGATAACAAGAACAAAAGTCGTATTAACTATAAGGGTAATAGTAGTAACAGAAGGGCATCAAGTTGTAGTAGTATATTTATAGTGTAAGCCGTGCCATACTTCCAATTTTCAATTGTAGGAAGATCAACAACTGAAGCATCGGATTGTGACGCCAGAATTTTGCACCGTCCAGAAGATCCGAAATTGTTGGTAAGGATTTCAGATTCAATTTCGGGAGTTGAGGCGTAGGTTTCGAGGGTTGAGCATGTGCCTTTTTTGCAGCTTGGTGGCAGCGTCCGGATCGCCACCAGCATGCTTCGACCAAGAGCAAAGGCCTCGCAGAGACAAGTGGTCACCTTCCTGCAAACAGCCCTCAAACATTGCAGCATCCTGAGGGCGTAATGCCTGAATCGCTGTTCACGCTGTTGAGGTATGACAACCTGAAGAGTTCATTCCAGTCGGGTGCCCAGCGATGACTGCCGTCACCACCAAGCCGAAGCGGGATCGTAGGAACCTAGCATCATTCCAGTGCCGAATGATGGCGTTGCACTCTCTCTCATATGCTTGCTCCATGCCGTGGCTCATGTTTCGATGTATCTAAAGCTTGCATTGCTGGTGCGTGTGTAATCACCATTGTTCCAGAGACTGCTGCGCACTGCCCGGGATCTGGACGGCTAGAGATGTATGCGTTCTGAACGTTGTAGATTGAAACCTGTACCCCAAAACACAACCCACTTTGACACTGCTGACAGAGACCTGATGGCTGTGCACAAGAAACCGTTCTGACCCTGCAGGCCCGGTCTTTGGAAACCAACGCTTGCTTGCGGACTTAAAAATCCTGAAGCCCTAAACTTGATCAAAAAGCCCGAAACCGAAAGCCCCAGTGCCCAAGTGCACAGGGGGGAACAGTTCCGAGTAGCTCGTGACGAATCTGCTCGTCGTCCGCCACAGTCCCGTGGATGTGGAAGGCCTCGTTGAGGTTGTGCAGGGGGCTCAGGGTTTAAGGTGCAAGGCTTAGATTGTGCAAACAAACTTGACCTGCCTCCTGCACACATCCTCAAAACAAGCTGCCGAACCAGTCGACAACGGGATCTCGAATCTCAGAGTTGTTTGGGGAAAAGGAGCCATGGCTGAGAATGCCGCCCCAATACGATCACAAAATTCTTGCAAAATCAACTCCCGTTGCCCGTTAACTTTACACCGGGTTCCTGGCCAAAGGCAACAGGCCCCCTTCATCGGCAGACCTTGCAAGCCAAGTTTTCTCACGGAGGGAACTTCTGGATACAGTCAACTTGGAAGCTTGCGGTGTCAGTTGATGGCTTCGTAAGTGTCCCTCCCGGTCATGTTTCGACCCAAGGGCCATTGATGCCCATCATCAGGTCGCCTGCAATGATCCACAAACCCTGACAGGAAGTCCTGCTAAACTGTACATTCCCAACCCTACACATGACCGAGGGCCGAACCCCACCTGCGTCTGCTTTTGGAGCCATGTCCTGGCACGTTGCTGTGGCAGACTCTCGCCCTCGCACCAAATGTAGCATCTGCAGCACAAAGGAGATCTTAGCAATCCTCGGGGTTTGGCAGCTACGGTCGCTTTCTTGCCCTCGCACTGGTGACCGAAACATGACGCTTAACAACGCTTGCAGCTCCAAGGTTTGCCAGTGGTATTGTTTGGGTTTTGGGCGTTTCCTTTGGACTTGGAAGTTGTTGCTGTTTTTGCGGGCAAACCTTCCTCAGGGCCAGGGCGGCTCTAGGCCGATTTGTGCAGGGGCGCTGTGTGAATTCTCGCGTAGCGCTCGCTCGGCCTCCCTTTTTCACCATCTGAGACCAGAATGGCGATCACCAACACGGAGGGTTTACGCTCTCACAACTCGGACTAGCCAGGCGAGGTTCATGGTGCGAAGTCGGCGTGAAACAGGAAACGAGATTCCCCATGGGAAAAGATCCAACACGGAGGGTTTAGGCTTCTGGGCTTGTAGGCTTTATGCTACTATCCTCAGAATTGACTCCGATACTTCCAGGCGTGCGGACCTTGCGGTACCCACGCAGAAGGCGCGCGCTTACACGAGGAGAGTGGAGTCTGGATTGTCGTGGTAACATGGTAGGCAATGGTAGGGTTACGTGGCCTGTCTGAAAACCTGTATTTCAGCTCTTCGGCAGTCACAGGGATCGCGTAGTTCCTTTTCATGCACATCGTGAAACCCAGGAGGGGCCTCGCGGTGTGGCCCAAACGGATGAGGCGACCATGTGTGGCCTGCTGCTGAACACAGGGCTTGCGAGAACGGGGTTTAGCAGCTGCTCTTCCATCGCTTCCAAACAGTAATTGTTACTTGCATCGGGTGCAACGCTTCGATTTCTTGTGCCTTCTAGTCGGGATCCCAAACATGGTAGGGTTTTGGGCGAAAGACATGATGGGAATGCTGCGGCTGATGCTGCTGACAACCGTGATGATGACCTATATGGCGACGGTGACCCTGCCAACGACTATTGAATGAGTCTTGCCGTGATGGCATGCGTCATGCAACTCAACTGGCACAACTTTGGAAAGTGTCGCATCTTGCCAATGTGTCCCTTTCAGGAATGCTTGCAGTAACCTTCCAGGGTTTCGGATTAAACCAAAAGGCCCTAGAGATTCGTGGAACCGTCGGATCCACAAAATGTCGAACAATCTTCGGTCTGAGCTTGCAAATCCGAGTCCAAGCACGAAGCGGCCAAAAAATGAACTCAGGGAGCTTCTGAAATCTCATATGTTGTGTTAGGCTAGGTTACTACCTTATGTGAACTGATGTCTGTGTAGCATACACTATTGCAAGGTATGGTCTTCCATAGTGGGATCTCAAACCCTGTAAGGGGAGCCCGGCCCCCAAACAAGCTGTGCTGCAGACTGCAATGATGAGACCTTCGATGAATTCGATTCAGACAGTACGAAATCTGCGCAATATGATGACCGCCAATTGAATTGTTTCTTTCGTCTTGCTGTACTGCGTGGTTGTTGTCGTTGTCGTTGTGGTCGTCGTGGTCGTGGTCGTGGTTGTGGTCGTCGTCGTGGTCGTGGTCGTTGTGGTCGTTGTCGTTGTTGTTGTTGTCGTTGTTGTTGTTGCTGCTGCTGCTGGTGTTGTTGCGTGTTGGTGGTGGTGGTGGTGGTGGTCGTTTCCGTTGTCGTGGTTGTGGTTGTGGTTGAAATCGTAGTTGCTATTCCTGTTGCAGTTGCAGTTGCAGCAGCCGCTGCTGCTGCTGCTGCTGCTGCTGCTGCTGCTGCGGCTGCGGTGGTGGTGGTGGTGGTGGTGGTTGTTGTCGTCGTCCATGTCGTCATGTTTGCTGCTGTTCATGGCGATGGTGCTGGTGATGCAAATGCTGCTGCTGATGATTAGTTGGCTGTCGCCGTGCTATGTGTCATCGCCACTGTCAATCTGAGTCATTCTTGCTGTTGTGCTTTTTTCAATTGCGATATTGACACGAAAATGAGCAGAAGTCCAAAGTAGCAGCTTTTCCATGCCAAGTGGCCTGGTGTGCCAGGCGACGATCGAAGATCGCTGCGTTTAGTTTCCTTCGTAATGGCTCAGGACTCTGGTGGAATTGTCTTTAAGTTGCGCTCGCCCATCACGTCCCTACTCCAAAAAGCTACGGAAGCCTCTAGGCACCCGACAAAATCGCCCCAGCAGCCCTATCTTGAGGACTCAACCGACAGAAATCGGAACTGCCCTGCGCTCTGTCTGGGCTGTCAAGTTCTGGCAATCTTGTTTCCTTTGTAGTGTAAGTGCGAATCTTGCATGGGTTGTATTCGTCATTGCCTACTGCAGCTGTCCACAGTCCGAGACACTTGGGCAGCAAGGCCAGGAGACCGATCCACTTGGGCTTTGAAGAGTGGTCTCCCTTGCCATGCCTCCGAGAGGTTTGGACACTAAAGCTGAGGCCGTGCTTTTGGGTCTGCGTTTATGGCTCGCTAAGGGCTGTTGCCGAAATCAACCAGACTGGATAGCCAGATCGAGAAACTTCGCAGCGTCGCTTCTTCTAATATGGTGCCCTCACAATTCGAACAAGGTTTGGGGGTATCCCACAGCACAGTTATAGAATGTCTGCACTGAAAGATATTCCTACGAGTTACTCAGCCGAACAAGCTCCCTAACATCTCAAAGCAGCGGCATCTTAGACCTCCTGAAGGCATACTGAACAATTGATCCTCGTCGAGAGGCTTTTGGGGATGCTTGCCCCAATACAGCAGCATCAGGCTGCCACCGTCTTGTGCAGCTTGCCGCCCGAAGGCCTCGCGACGAAAAGCAAGCATGGCGGGGTTGAGGTTACACATGATTTTTGCGTTCTGCCTTGCTTGAAGAGGGCAGGGAAACAACGACATTCAAACAAAATCCAGAACCTCATTCAGTTCGGAACAAGTCCCTTGTCAGAACCCAAACCTGTAGGATAAAGTGCTCACGTTTGTGGGGTCCAGGGCTTTGGGTTTGAGTGTAGGACCCCAGGTCAGTGTTCCCACGGGTAGGGAACATAAGCATCACAAGCGAGGCCGAAGCTTAGGCAGACAAACATCCCGCCTCAGACTCTGGGCTATGAGGGCTCCAAGTGGTGCGGTCGTATCAGCACGGCGATGTAAACGCTAACACCACCACAAACATGTGCAGGCAGCGCGAGAGTGAAACCCGGGATGTACCAAGACAATGGGCAGGATTTTCGAAGGCTCCGGAAGACCCAAAGCAGAAAACCATGCAAGCACTTTACCAAAGCAGGGTTTCGCAAAGCTTTATACGGATCTATTCCCGGCTGCTTTGCTTCACAGGGATATGGCTTCTGATCCGCGGCAACAGCGCCTGGTTGATGAACTCGGCTTCCTGACATGCAGAAAACTTTTTCAGTGAATGTCAACGCCGCTTCGAATTGCAAACCCAGGACCTTGACGATTTGTTGGGTCCGTTCTTTGCTTGCAGGATGGTGGGCTTCGAAGTTCTTTTCATGAAGCTGATCTGCAATTCTCAAACAGAAGCGTCATTCTCGGTGCACGAGGCCCTGCTTCTCAGTCTAGCCGAGTCGAGCAACTATGTACCTTCAGTGCTGTAGTTCATGCTATTGCTCAAGTTAGCTATGTTGCCGTTCATGTGTGTAATTCACAAGTATGTCAAGTAGTGATGCACCCAGTGCTTTTAACATCGTTGCTATCTCTAGGCTTGTCGTTGCCACTTCCGGTATCATGCTCTGTCGTTCTCAATCTTGGGCAGCATCCCTCTTTGTAAACAGAAGGAGCGTTGACGAACCATTCTTGTCGTCACCGCTGTCGCTACGAGCTGGCGAAACTGCGATTGGCTGCCAAGCAATGATGCGTTGGTTATAGCAGGATGAGAACCATGCCAAGGTCACCGATGCGCCATGTGAGCCCACCTATGTTTGGCCCTGGGCCTCCCCCGGGTTCTCAAACTCGCAACGGCTTTCGGAGGAAAGGATGCAATGGTTAGTGCTGTTCTCCCTCTTAATCCTACGACGCGTCTACTAGTTTCTGTAGCCACCACCGCGAGTACCAGTCTCGTGCTCGTTGAATGCATGAAGCTCCACTCGGGGTGCCCGTGGCCTGTGAACTGGAGATCTTCCAAATTGATGTTTTGGAGACGTCCTGCCGCATTGCCCGCAGCTGTGTTGCAGGGTTTATGGCTTGGGTTTGATGCGCCTGGCGTTTGTGGATCGACAACAGGACAGCTGTTTGATACGAACAGCTTCCAAACATCTCTCTGCTGTGGCTTTCCCATGCAACTCATGACTGGATTTTTGAGAGACTCGAGGAACGCATACTCGCAGACAACACCTTGACAACCATCATGACATCAAAATTGAACCATTCGGCCGATCGACTGCGTTTGCCAAACATCCAAACTCTGATCCCTACACCGTCCTACGCCTAACACCCCCAGCTGTTGACGTAGGAGCCGCATTCATTCCAAACGGGTCTGAGATGTTTGGGTGCATGTTGGGTTACCGTTGAACAGTGACTAGATGCGGACATTCTGGCAGTTCTCATTCACTCTCCGCTATCATACCTGAACAGCCGGCACAATTCGAGACACCTCCGCGTGCTCGGCGCGGAGACGCGCATGGAAGCTGCCAAGGCCGTAGCCGGCGCTGTATCTGCCAAGGCTAAAGCGTGCTGGCTGTATACAGGCCTTGGGGAGGTTAGGCTTTACCCAAGAAAACGTCAAGCCACGAAATCCCTCAAACCCGGTAAACCCCCAACCGAAATCCTGGAACCTTGATCTTGAAGGTCTACTTGGGGTTTGTAGTTCCTTGTTTCCTGAAAGACCTGTAAATACATACAATACCAGACATCGCGGTAACTCTTACTGGCCTCAGCACGTTGGCTAAGTTCTCCTCTTCCAGAGGTGTGGTGTCCTAAGCGCAGAAGAGAGGGCAACGACCCACGGCGCCCAGTCGTTGCAACTAGGGGTCGATGAAAGCTCGATCAACTAGAAGCGCAGTTACGTATTACGTAAATCGGGAAATCGTAGCCTGAAGCCATCCAAGGGACAGTTCATTCGTTTCCGCAACCCAACGGGTTTCTTGCGAAGGAAGCCACAGGTGCTTTCGGATAAGTTTTGAGCCGGGGTAATCAAATCTTTTTCGGGTACACAGGAGACTTTTTTCAGAAGGAATCTGCCCGGGTCCACGGCATGGGAACTGACAAGGTCATCCGCGAGAAGCTTCTTAGGAGTGAAAGCTTCGTCAGTAGCTGCAGCCGCAAATGCAGAAACTAAAGCAGTAGCAGTAGCAGTAGCAG